CCTTTCTTTTTTTTTTCTGGAGCAGGTGAATGCACCTTTTCTTTATATCCTCTGGTATTCTCGAATCTTTGCTGTAGTTTAGATGATCTAAAGAAATAAGTGAATCAAGGCTTACAAAAAAAGATAAATAGGATTTTTAGACCAACTAGTTTACTTAGTGGAGGGCCAAGGATGGGGGAAAGATTTCTGGGCAAATTCTCCAGCTCTTAAACTGAAGAACCTCAAGCTAAGAACAGACCAATATCATCTCTTAAAGTAAGGTTTGAATGTTATGGAACTTAGTGCCTCCTCTTCAGTTTTGCCAAGTAGCAATTATATATTTTCTTCTCTCCAGCCATGTAAATAACTAACAAAATGGAGTTAAACTCAAGATATAATTGCTATTTAACTCCTCTACCTTTGGCAGCGAAAGAGATTTTTAAAGATCCTAACAAATTCTGGTTACTTTTTCTTTCTCTTCTGCAAGTTTGCCATGTCCTTAAGTGTTACAGAAAAATTGCAATGAAGCCAGGCTGAATGGTAACTATCCAGATTAACAATGAAAAGAATTTTTAGGAGATTATTTTGTGGAAATTTAGACAGCCTACACTGATGAAAATTACAGCAGGACTCTCTTAATAACCAAACATGCAAATATTTTGGGTTTTTAAAAGGCTCAAGGACAATGAACTGTTGTAAACTGGCATTGTCACACACAATATATATAAACATACTTTCAGAGCTGTTATTCTTAAACTGTACTTAGCTTGATGTTTCATCCTTCTACACCTAACTCAAAGAAGACTCAAATGCAAAATCTTGTGTTTTCTTTACCCCTAGTAAAATAATTTTTCTTTAAATAAATCTATTTGTTCTGACTAATTTGAGGGTACATGACCCTTTGCATTGAATGAAGTACATCCTCAGGAATAGACCTCTCATTCCATTTTTTACACAGTTTGACTGTGTAAATGGTAGGAAACCTCCAGATAGGGATATCTTTGGGGAAGTTTTGCATCACCTATGATTTTGCTGCTACCGTTTCTTCCTGTAAAAGTCACTACCCTGCGTGCAATTATTTAGCTTTAGTATACTGGCATACGAGTTAGTGTTCCCATGATACCGAGGTTGCTTGCCTTTAGTGTGCTTTAAAAATGCTGACACCATTTATGAACTATGTCAAGAAATAATGTTTTTCATATTGAAAGTGCATATCAGGCACTTATGTTCTATGTACAAAGATCAGCTTTGGGTTAGCATCTAATTTCTAAAAGCAAGTCATTTTCTATTAAGCTAATTTTACTGAATTTCTGCTCGTGTTACTTTTTAATTGTAACTTTACTTGTATGAGTAAAGTTAAGTAATACTCACCTCCGAAAGAATAGGCTCCATTTGATCCAGAGTTTTGCCTAGATGCTTGTCTGGATCTAAACCTGAAAAAAAAAAACCCAACTCAAAAATGTAAAATTATTTTGAAGTAAGCACTGTTATGACATCAAGAAAGGTGCTGTGGTTTTTTTCCTTTTCAAATATAGCTTGTCTCTCTTAGAAACTCCACTATATCAAAATAATTTCTATCTTAAAGAAAACAGTCAGAATTTTCTCTTATCGCCTCTGGGTAACTGTTTTCCATGTTTGTGGAAAAATAAAGCCAACTACCTTTCACTGCATGCCAACTGGAAAAGCTACTGTTTTCTTAAAAATTTCACTAGCCAGTGAAGTAAACACACAGGTCTGTAGTAATGAAAAGACTATACAGATATTAGCTCTCTGAGTCAGAAGTTACCTTTGCAGGTACTTGTTAAATTAAAATACAAGTTAAATTTTTTTATAGTTCCTGCAAATTACTGGAAGGGACACAGACTGTTTTCCATAATAAAAACTTGCTTTGCCAAATCACATTCTGCGTGTGGTACCCACATTAAAAAAGGGTAAGATTAAAAAGGACAGAAATATAAAGAAACTCAGACTTACACAGTATCTTGAATATTGTACCTTTTGATCCATCACAAAATATTCTCTATGATATGTACATTCTGATTGTAAAAAAAGTAAACCCTGTTAAAATTTGATAGCTCCTCTAAATTGCTCCTCTGTGTTCCTGTTTCAGCTTTTTGACTTTATGAGTTTGGCCAGCTGATGGCAGTTATATGATCACTTCTCAGGAATAAATCAAATAATTGTCAGAAATCCATAGTTGGATAAAAAACATCCAGGACCAACTGTTTCAAGATCTGACATCTTCTTCAACCAAATAAATATGCTAGCTGGTTTTAACATTAAGTGATCAAGAGGTATTACCATATGAAGTAAATGACAAAAAAACCAAAATTATAACTTCTGAAAGTGCAGAACACTGTAAAATACCAAGTTATCACATTTTATCTACTCTTAATTATCGTGGTTTGGATGTTTTTGTACTGATAGCAATACTTGTCTGTTTTTTCCTACTCTACTGCTTTATATAAAAATGGGTATCATTAAAAAGCTGCCACCAGAATGACTCCATTTAGAAGTAATTCCTGAAGTATGTACCTTGCAAAGTACTTTAGATCATTGATGATGAAAGCTGTTACATAAATGTATGTATACTATTATATAAAGTCATTGCTGAGTTCAAATATCTGATATGTCTTTTAATTTTTACCATCATGGTCTTGGAATATTTAAATTCCTGTGAAACTAAAACAAGTTATAGTGAATGAGACTTCAAAACACTAAGAAAGTTTTTAAATATTTCATTAAAGCACATTAAAAATTCCCTTACTATCTGGGGGAATGCTTTTAAAACTGCTTAATAATTAAAGTGAAAGAGGGCTGAGGTTTTTTCCTCCTTCTATTCCTTTTTTTTGTATTGGTTTATTGCTTATTTATTAACAGACTGAAAATGTGCAGGCTAGAGATACAATAATAATAATTTATTCTTGTGGAAATAGTTTTGAAATAGATTCATTCAATTTCAATAGTTCAAATGATTCTAGTGATCTCTTCTAACTTATATCAGCTTAGCATTATGCCCTTGGTTTTAACGGGATAGGTATTAGACTAAACAAGCACTTTCTCCTAAAATAAACAAATAATGAGTACAATATTACAGTACTCATTTCACACATTTACATTGACATTCTTCCTTAACATAATTACTTTTCTGAGATAAGCAACCCCTCTCTCCTGGATAAAACCAAATTGATTTCCTTTAGATTTAAACTAAGGGATACATTTAAAACCTGTGAGTTGTCAGAACCAGACACACTAACACATTTTTTCACAAGGTTCTCTTTGATATGATGGATATACTTACTGTTCAGTCCCCTAATGAACACAACACATTTATTTAAAAGAAACTATGATATATATATAGTTTACAAAATACAAGTAAATTAGCTATGTGTACACAATGGGTAAATTCTTTAGCAATACCCCACACCTACATGAAAAGCTGAGAAAGTGCAATGTACACTGTCTGTTTCTAACCAGAATTCTATTTTTGGACAGCCTGTATTTCTTTAAAAACTATTATTTCTTTTAATTTCAAATAGGTGTGTATTGTGAGTGAATAGAGACTGTCTGCTCAAGGCATCAAGAACCAACATAACCTGTAATTTAGAGAACCAGTAATCCACATCTCAAATCTCTAATAGTATGCATGCATAGATGAAGCAGTATGTCTACTTCTACAATTAGTATAACAAAGTATCTAGAACCGTACTTACAAAACAGTTAATATAAATCTATACATCTATGTAGTATGTTTTTCTTTAAACAAAGGAGTAGATTGATTCAGATTCTTAAAATGGGTTGACTAAAAAGAAAAACATTGTATTGTCAATTCTTAGCACCATATCCTCTAGATTTTTCCTCCATGGGACTAGATATAAAGAAAGATGCATGGGTGGATAAACCAACAACAAGGTCCAGGGTCTGGATGACTGTATGTAGAATTAAGGAATTAATTAGGAAGGGAACTATAATTTGCAGCACTGACATCTATTTCACTTAACTTGCATGTAACAATGGGAAGCAATTAGAATTCAATTAAAATATTCACTTTTATTACTTCACTGAGTGACCTTGAAGTTAATGCCTGTTTTATTTAATTGCATCATCTATGAATAAATGTTAACCCTAGAATGTTATGGCCCATTATTTTCAATGCATTTTAACTCCCCAACTGAACTATATCTGTCAATTTATTATGTGCTGCCAAGAGAGCAAGTGGGGCTTTATTTCTTTGAGACAGACCAGTATATGATGATGGAAACATCTCAAAAGATTTGATAATGTTGTTTTTAACAGTGCTCAGTGAAACAAATTGTGCTTTCACCTTCCGTTTTGTAGCCTAGCTTTACTGTAAAATCAGTGATAGCACAAATGGTATAATCACTTCAAAGTAATTTCTACTCTATCTGTAATTCCTGATAAATCCATTGACAGGAGCAGAACTCCTTCCTGCAGATATCAACAATGATTGCAGAATGCTCTTACACACAACCACAAATACTGTAGAGTACTGCAGCAACGTCAAAAGACCAGGGCAGAAATTCAGGGCTTTATTCTGGAGTGAAAAAATGAACATTACCAAAATGCATTTCACTAATGTTAAGCTACACACAGTAACTGTATTCTAAACGGTTCACTTTGTACACATGTGGTAGTAGTGCACCATAAAGCCCTCACCTGAGGGGTAATTACCTGATACTGATTGACCTGATTACCTGATGCTGATCAAGAGCATTAGAAAACCAAGTTCCTTTTTCATGGCATTACATTCCACTAGTAAAATCCACAATCTTAAAGCCTCATCTTACTAACAAGAACATGTTTTATACATGTTCAGAATTTTAAAATAGTTGTGATTAAGGACGTTTTTCAATATAAAAAATTCTCTTTTTTATCTCTACATAAAATGTCAAATAAATAAAAATCAACCATAATTATTGGTTTTAAGAAATGATGGTACATAAAGTTCTTCTAAAAGCTACACTGAGCCAAACTCTAACTCATAATACATGAACACATTGTGAAAGAATCACTACCACATACACACATCAATATAATATGAGTTGACCATTATCTGTTGATAATATAGGGAAAAAACTTATATCTTTTCCTGACTAACCAACTTCACCATTCAAAAAGTAAATTTTATTACTCTCTGGCTTCTTCAATAAAAAAAGGTTAAAAACAAATCCTCAAAATTGCTATATCTTATAAATCTTCTTGAAATATGATATTCATAGAATTAGAACAGACTTTTGGAGAAAAAAATGGAATCTGTTTTAGAGTTACAACTTGAACTTCCCTTTTTTTCTTGAGAAGTATTGTTGAGAAAATTAGTAACCACCATCATTATTGACGTCAGGGACTAAGACTTAACTTCTGCCAATGAAGGGAAGTATAATGCACAATAAAGTTTCTGGAAAGATCCTAATCAGCTGCTTACCACTATCAGAATTCTCTAGAATTTTAATTAAGAAAAGAGGTAATGAGAGACTGGTTTTCTGGAACCAAAACAAGTCTCTTACCCTCTCTTCTCAATTTCTTTATCAGAAAGAAAACAGTAATAAGTGAGTAATAAGGTGATGGGACCTTTAAGGTAAAGAAATATGTATAGAAAGCAAAAGCATATAAAGGATAAATGAAAACACCCATCTTAGAATTGGAACAGAGAAAACAGAACTATTTTTAAGGTAAAATCCTCTAATTTCAATGTCTTCTTTTTTCTTCCTAAGCAAACAGGACAAAATCACTGATGTTCATGAAGGATGATCAGTTCATGAAGGATTCTTTACACAGTACAGAATCCAAGAGTTATTTCTAATAGTACAGGAAAAGCCCATACACAACAATGTTAGTTGGTAAAACAGGGTTACTCTGTAGGAGTGCAGGAATGTCAGATAACCTTCACAAAATAGAAGTGCACATGCCAGACGTATTAGTGAACCATAAATCTATACTTTAAATTGCCTTGACATAAATTATTCCTGGTGTCATATTTAGCTTTCATTTCTGTGAAAATTTGGGAAGTGAACTTTTTGTCTGGTAGCATAACTTGAGAGGATCGTAGTTGATTCTCAACCTACTCATAACTTTCATACATGAAAAGTTGTGTTAAGAATGATGAACTGGATGGATTCCTTGAATTTCCTTTTAAAAAAAATAATTGTAACAACTCCTTAATTTTTGTATGAAAATGAAGAAAAGTGCAATAAATACTGGGTATTACTGCACCTCTAAAAGATGGGAGATGAATATACTTCTAATTTATTGTCTACAAGAGCAAAATTGATGCAACTTGATTATGTGTCTACTTCTTTAATTTTTTGCCTTTTTTTTTTTTGTTTGTTGTTTTGTTGTTTTGTTTGCAGTTTTTTTATGGAGGAATGTATCTAGTATGGGAATTGTACAGGGATGGAACCTGAAGATATAGTAA